GAGTACTCAGAGCATCCTCCACCCCAGCGAGCTGCCGGTCCCCGGCACAGCTCAGCACACCAGGTTCAATCAGGCACTGGTGTAAATCAGCATAAGTTCCCTGGCTCCACTCTCATCTGACACCAGCCGAGGACATGGCTTGGAGACTTGCAAGTTCAGGTTTTGTGATTTTATTTAGATGAGGTGCCTCCCAGTTCTCTCCGGCTGCAGGTGACTTTGTATTTTAATTCAGACGTCACACTGATTTTCCCCCTCTGCCCCATCATAAAAGTTAGTTAGCTGATGCACCTGTTCTTTAGATTAGAAAGACTGCCAGGGGCACGAGTTTTTCAGTGACTGAGTGTGAAAGAGGGACTGGGGGAAAAAAAAAAAATCTACCAACAGGGAAAGTACATGTGCTGAATTAAATCAGAATTAAATGCAGAAGGTATACCTTGAGAAATGCTTTGTTGGTGAGCACAGTAACTCTGATGTTTCTGTTATTCTGTCTATTGGAAACGTTTAAGTCAAGTATTTCTTTATGTTTTGTGGAAAAGAGTACTTGGAAAGCGGCAATTTTCTGTCTTGGGCATTCAGTGACTTGCTATGAGGTTTCTCACCTGCAGGGTTGAGACATGACTGCACAGGTGCTTGACAGTGACTATGGGACCTGGAAGGAAGAAATTCCAATGGGATGCTTTTCCCTCAGCCATTGCCTTAGTTCCATGCATGACACAAAGATGTGGGGTTTTGTTAAGCATAACTTCTTTTTTTTTAAAGAGAAACACGATATAACACCTGATCGTGTTACCTGAGGTTCAGTAGCCCGAGATGTGACCTTACACAGATATCTCCCCAATATCTTTTCCTCCCTCAAATTTAGGTAATATTAAAGAAAAGGAAAAATGCAAGAGAGGTTAGGCTGTGGGGTGTGGGTCCATTCACATCCCATTAACAGGAGATTGGTGAGCCCTGCCAGCTGGGCTCCTGCCCGCTCCTCCAGCCAGCCCTGCTGTGGGGAGGCACCTGGGCAAAGGCCTCTCTGTTGGAACATGGGCTGGCCCCAGTGGGGATGCATCCATCCTCCTCATCCCTGGCTCTTCTGGCACCTGGCAGCATCCTTGGACTCCCCCAGCACCCAGCTCTGGCGGGAGCCAACTCAAACCCAATAGTAATATAATTTAGGTCATTTAAGTTGAATCATAGAAGCTGAACTTCAGTGATCCTGTGGGTCCCTTCCAACTCAGGATATTCCATGATTCTATGATTCAAGTTCCCCAGCAGCACCACTTTTTGGTGGGCTGCTTCCCTGCAGCGAGTTGAACTCGCATCACTCAGGCTAGCCCATATTCCTAGCACTGTTTTGGAAAGAACCAGGGTACTTCCAGCTAGAGGTGGAGGCATGCTCTCCTCCTTCAAATAGCAGGGAACCCACACACACCTGGCAAGAATAAAAAACCAAAAAGGATAAAAGCACATTTTGGGGTAAGGAAAACCTTCAGGAAATAGTTGATGAGAGCAAAACAGCAATGATTTCTGTTGAAAATTGAAATAAATGAAATGTTTATAGTTGGTAACACTGAAGTCAGCAAAGCCCTGGTTTCTTCAGGGGGTTTGAGTTCACTTTCATAAACTATTCTTGATGGCCACATGGTGTCTCAAAAAAAAAAAAAAGTAACAATGAGAAAATATACTCCAATACCCTGAAATCCTACCCTACTTATTTCTCTACAGCTTTAAAATGGTGCAAAGGAGGAGTCAGCTTTATTTATATAAAACACTCCCAGCTGAGTTCTCCAGCTGGCCATTAAGAGCAGCTACAGTGTTTAACAGGTGATGGCTCTCCACAGTGAGAATGAACAATAATTGCTTTACTTATGCAAAGAAAAATATTCCAGGCTCACCTTGGAGGGAAGAATTAATTACATGTATTAATTCTGTCATAACAAGTTGCCTCATGAGGAATTGGTTTCCTGTACAAAGGAAGCAAAATTTTCTCTTTATTTTGCTGTATATTAGAAAAGAAACTTGATTCAAAATTGTGTGTCAGGAGATTACACATTGCTCTGCTGAACAAAATCATGATATACTGATGCACTAAAGGTACCGGTTAATTTGCTATTGACTAATAAAATTGGAAATAATTTATAATCTAAGTTGGCATCTTTGCACCAAGTTCTTTTAGTGATGAGAATGAAGAAATTAACAAAAGAAAAGGTGATGTGTAGTGAAGGTGGAGTTAAAAATTATCAAAGTTCTAAATTTCTGATGTTCTTTTTAAAATAAAGCCTTATTAAAGATGATGAACCTGTAAGCCATTCATCAAGACTGACTGTTCCCTTTAGGAAATAGTGTAAATTTGGTTTGAATAAAGGATTGCCCAGAGAGAGTCTGGATGTGTAATTATATTCCACTGAAGGATGAATAATTCCTCTTGAACTGAGCAGTTTGCCGTAGCCCTGCAGTTTATACTGACCTCATCTTTACGGGTGATTCGAAGAAACGGTGCTGTAAATGCTAGCTTTTCCCTTTCTCCTGCAAGAGTTTGTTACTTTGTTCACTTTGGGTGGGAGATGCAAAGGATGGGGTTCCCTTTCCAACATCAGCTGGCAGTGCAGCCAGGGGTGCACGTCTGGCTTCCCGCTCCCCTTCCCTGGCGTGCGCGCTGATGCCGGTGTGCTCGGCATTTGAAATGTCAGACTGACAAAAGCTTTTGCAGGGGCCAGCTGTTGCTCTCGTTGCTTCAAGTATTTTTATACCTGGGGCTCCCAGGAGTATTCGCTGGCATTTTCTTTATTTACAGCAATGAAGTGTGACTGAACTGGAGCATTCAGAGCTGTGCCCTAAGTTGCTCGGAGGGCTCTGGTTCCCCTGCTCCTCCCAGAGGGTCCCCTCCTGCCCCACACACAGGTCTGGGTGTCCTCACAGCAGGGAAGGGGCTGCACTTGGCACAGGGAGGGGGAGCCCCAAGGTCTCGCTCCTCTGTTGACCCTGCCCTGGCACGCAGGCACTGCTGGCCTTCCTGCCACCACTCTGCAGCTCCCAGTAGCAGTTCTGCAGTAGCAGTAGCAGTAACTGCACTCCATCTGCAGTTCTACCCCAGATCTATGCTGGTAGAGATATCTTTTCCTCGCTAGCTGGAACTGGTGCTGCACCTGAAGCAGTGTCAGGCTCTGTACACTGCTCCCACCTCAGCACAGGGTGCCAGGGAGGAGCAGCTGCTCAATTCCTGGACTTCTGCTGGCACCTGTGCAAACCTTGCTTTCTCAGGGAGAACTACAGAAAATTTATCCCACAGCATGTGCAGTGATAGATGATTCCTTGTGACGTCCCCTGTGATCTCAAGTAGTTTGAAGAAATCAGCTGTGTTTCTCTGTGACACTCCTCGGACACGAGCAGCACGTGTGCACACGCTGCCTTTTGCTGAGGGATGAGCCTCAGAGAGCTGCCCTCTCTTGTGTAGACACCTCATGATGCTTGCCTCCATCTCTCCATGCTTCCACTTGTGTGTCAATGGCGTGAGGGAGATAGCACAAGATGTATTTTACTTGGTGGGAGGTGCAGGGAAGGTATGAGACACTTTCTTGCTTCAGCCCATCCTCCTGCATGTGTCACACACCTGAGGTTTCAGTGAAAAAGCTAACTGAGGGTACCATGTAAACCACCATGTCCCCAAAATGCAGGATAAGTCCTTCTTGACCTGAAAGCCTGTAAGCAGCACAGGCCCCCAATGATTTCTTCCTGCATGCCTGCCAGGAAAGACACCACAGACAGGTAGGTTTTTAACCCAAGATCTTGTCTTGTCTGCCTGCAGCACAGGCAGATTTATTGAGAATTATGGTAGTTGTCATCCTGAGAGGCTTTGGTGAGTGTTTAGGCACTCTATAAACTCACAGTCAGAGGGAATGTGTCACTCAAACAATCTATCAAGGCAAGAGAAAGGAAAGGTGGGAATGAGGGATCACCACTGTTCTCATTTGCTGGGTGTCCTATTGCAACCTCCTGTCCACTTGCCTAAGTCATCTCTTGGGTACCTGCTGCTCCCCAGTGCCACAGAGCAGCCCGAATTTGGGGCAGAATGGGCAGAGCTGAGCCCTGGGATCGGCACTGCACCTTGCAAGCAGCTGTGGAGGCTCTCCTGGGGACACAGCAAGGGGGCACAAGCTGCTTTCTGATGGATCCTCTGTTTTACAAGATCAGTGTGAAAAATGATCTGATTTCCAAAGTACATGTCAGTGGTTTGCAGCCATTGAGACCTGTGGACACTCTTGGGAGAGAAATATGACTGGAAGCAGGAGGAAATGTTTGGGAGAAGTCTTCAAACCTGGCCAGAAATGGTACTCAGGAGAGATTTTGAAAGGAGAGGTGGGCTCTGAACAGGGCAAAAGAGAGTTCTGAGGTTTTAGCTAAGGGCAAATCCAAAGGGCAACATTACAAGCAGGGGTTCCATATTAAAGAATCTGAGAGATTGTGAGGTTTTCTTTTGTCTCTGCTATCATTTTTGTTTTGGGCTGAGCTGTCACTATGCCTGGCTCTGGTTCTGCAGAGAAATGCCTTCACACACTCAGTGCTGTGCTCTAAAGCTTGAATGTATGCACCAGCCCAGAGCCAATGCAGGGATTCCAGGATCACTTGAGGGGTTTGTTGGTGACTCCTGTGAAAAACCCCACTGCATCAATAGGATTGCAGCTCGGCAGATGCTGTGGAGTCTAGTGGTAGATAAGGCCTTTTAATGGATGTATCTGCATATTTCCATGAGCTTGTATGTGCATGGGAGCTATCCTACTGAACTGTGCAACAGAGATAGAGAAATTTTCCTTGTTCTCCATCAGAAAGAATAAAGTGAATCAGTGTTACTTCATTCATTACCCTTAGGAGGAAATACCTTGTGGAGTACACATCCATTTGGCATGGCATCTTAAAAACTGCACAGAGGGAACTGAAGGAGGACTTCAGTAATAGTGTATCTGATGCATTTTTAAGATCTGTTTGCCACAGAAAATGTCTGTTTTCTGTTTCAGAACAGCACAGACCTGGTGAGGGCTCTTGTTTTACAAATGCCCAGTGCAGATTCTCAAGAGAACATCTGTGAGAAGAAACAGCACAAAAAGTGTCACCTCTCTTTCCTGCACCAGGTGCCAGTAAAGGAAGGGCTCACATTTTGGTGCTGGGAAAAAGCGAGTTGTAGTGGGTGACCCATCTTTTCCAGGTGAGAATGTCCCCTTCCTGCTGCTAGTGCAGCTGCCAAGGAGGTGGTGAGTGAGTGAGCTGAGATGCTCCTCTGTCCCTGAGGGACTCCAGTGCCACTGTCAGGCAACAGCAACAAATAGGGCTTCAGTGCAGATGTGTAGTAAAGACCCTCACAGAGAAAAAACAAATAGAAGAGGGGATGTCTTCAAGGAGCTGCTTATGATCATTATTTATGTATATGTGGAGACTCAGTACCCTGTTGCCTTAAAAAATTGTTTGTAGCATTTATCTCCCAATTTAATCTGGCAGCCTCCATCTATTTCCCTGTAAACGATGAATGAGATGTGCCTAGTAACTATCTCTTATGGCTCAGTAAATACTTGAATTTATTTGCATATTAAGTTGGCCACGTTTCTATCGCACTCGCTAAATGCAGCGACACGAGCTACTACACAGAGGAGGCTCATGGGCCATTAATGTGCCGAGGATTTATGTGAATGACTCCCTTCCACATTAATGGAAGGTATCTGCACAAATCGCCTTCCACTGGGGGAATAGACCATAATGTATGTAAATACATATTACTCACTGCTGTTTAGTTATTCAAGAGGATGCTTAGCAACCTAAAACACTGCTCTGGTGCTAATATATGAGCAGTTTTCCTTAAAATGTGGGAAGAGAGGGTGCTGCTTGTTGTGTAGGTTGTTGTGTCACCTCTGAGCTGGCACGCACTTGGAGGTAGTTGCAGTTCCTCAGGCTTCAGTGGGACACAGAGGAGGAAAGTTTTTCAGGATTAAGTCCTGGCTGAATTGGTATTTCACATGGGGGTGAGGGCATTTATGCTCGGTGGGATGCAAGATCTAGGAGAAGATGGGTTCCTCTGTCCCTGTTAAGCTCCCTCTGTGTCTGGGAGTGCTCCCCATTTCTCACTCAAAGGCTCTGCTGTGTGCCCCAGTGCTGCTACCTTTCAGGAGGGGCTGCAGTGACCTATCTGGTTTTGTCAGGCTTGGCCCTCCTGCCTTCACTCACTCACCTGGGATCTCCCACTGGTGTAGGTCAATGAGCAGCATGGCTGGGCTCTACCCACATGCATGGTGTGGTGTGAATCCCTTCCCAGAGAAATGGATGTCCCCCTGCACACTGGGAGCTTTGCTGGCTCAAAAACCTTTAGACACGCGTTAACATGTTGTGTTCCTCTTGGGATTGCTGTAGTGGTATCAGGTCACTGAAGTTAAGCCTGTGGGAATATCCTTGCCTCTCAGAACATGGGTTTCTTGGGTGATACTAAAAAAGCAGAAAGCATGGCTCTTCTCTTATTCACAGCTGACTACATGAAGGTAAACCTGCTCTGGAATGAAAAAGAATCAGGTGATTAGGCTGATGGGACTGACCACGGTGTTGCTCTTTCAGCCTGCTCCTGACCCTGCATGACCACAGGTTTGTGTGCTTTCTACACCGGCACTTGTGAGCTTGGGTATGTCAGGGCACCCTGCAGCAGACACAAAAATGTGCTGGTGGCCTGTGCCAGTCATCTGGGATGGTTAGCTGGGGATGGAGCTGTGTGGTATGGGGAGAGAAACCTGCGACTTAAGAGACATTTTTCTCAACAAGATTATTAGAGATGGTAAAATTCCTTCATGCTCAGATGTTTTGGAATTTATATTAAATTTACCTGCCATGGTTGTTACCTCTGATCTCTAATTAAATGAGGTTATTAAACTGGGAGACAATACTGCAAAAATCATGATTGATTTATTTTTTTTCTTTCACATTATTTTTGCATGCTTAAGCAGTGGCAGCCTCCGCCAACAGCAGGGACTGACGTTGACATGGCAAAGAAACTCAAGGATCTGTCGCTGTCAAAAAGAAAGATCTGCTCAGGCCAGCTACCATTAACCTCATGCCAGGGCTTTTGTCTCTCTGTGAACTTAGAACATGTGGAGCAAGAGGGTTTTTCCAGGGAAGGGCTGTGGTAGGCTTGGCAGTGCTGGGTTAGCACTTGGACTCGAGGACCTCTGAGGTCTTTTCCAACCTAAATGTTTCTATGATTATATGCTGTATTTATATTTACCTGGGTAGGCAGTAGGCTGCTGTACAATGAGGAGAAAATGAAGGGAGGTTGGGGTATGTGATGTGGAGGTAGGAACATCCTCCTCTGTGAAATGGGGAGAGCAGGACTGATTGAGACTTCTGGTGGGTGATTTATTCTAATTAATTTGGAAGCTGGTGTGTTCTCTCAAACTCATTAATATCTAGCTCTGCAGATACAGAGGTCTCATGCAGAGGGACATACGGGAGGGGATGATGAGCACACAGAAGCCCATCCTCCTGCCTGGGTGAAAGCTTCAGAGCAGGCAGGGAGCTGGGAGAAGAAAGAAGTGAGGCTCCAGCCCCTCTGAAGCATGCTCAGGGGGGACTCAGAGCACGAGTCAGAGAGCACAGCTGACAGCTAGCCCTGTGGGAAGCTGTGCCAAGGGAAATGGTCCCTGAGGCCAATGAGGGAGAGAGCTTTCCAGAGCAGGCAAAAATTGCCATGCATGCCCATCTGTCTGCTTTAAGACCTCACGCAAGCTGGTTTTCCCCAAAATAATGTGAGGTTATAGGAACGTGTGATGAGCAGGTCCAATGGCAAACAGGGCCGTGTGTGCCACTCAGTTATTTCTCCCATCAGTGCCAGCATGCAGAAACATGTACAACCACGGGGGCACTCGTGTCTGGCACTTTAACAGCCAAATGAAAGTGCAGAGGGACTGGAAATGCTAATGATGGTCTTGCTGTGTACTCAGCCTGTGTCCCAGGCTGTGACTGCAATCTTAATTACTGTTCGATGAAGAAGTGTTGCTAGTCAGAGGTATTGTAATTATTTATTGTTAGTACGTCCAGCAGACAGTGCACTACCATCCCTGACTTTTTTGTTTGTTTGTTTGTTTTTTAACACAGAAATAAATGGCAGCAGAATTAATAAATAAAGTCAGTCTCTGAAAATGTCACATTTGCCTACAGTCACAGTCCATATGCCATTTTCTTATGCTAATTTTGGGACAGTGAAAAGCCTGACACTCTGGTCATGCTGCCTGTGATTGCTAGAAGGGGCAGCTTAGGTTGTTCTAACACAGGTGCCTTTAAGAATCAGAAAAGAAAAGATGGGCTGGGAGGGTCGGGAGACTGTGCTCCATAAAGGAATGTCAAATTGGAAGAAAGTGGGAGGAAAATCAAACAAATAAAGTCTGAAATTCTTCCAGGTATTCAGGAGGCTTCAGTCATCATGTGCTATGGATGGCAGCATGCCACAGCCCCCTGATAAGGGAGAAGAGAAACACACAGGGAAAATAGGTTAAACTCTGAGTAGAAAAAATGGCTTCCAACAAAGAATTTGGGGGATGATGACATTGATTCTATTGGATCCTGTGTGAATTACATCACAAGACAGTAAGTCTGATTTTGGACTTTAAGGTGCAGAGGGAGGAGTTTACAGTGGGCCACTTTGCCTGTTCTGCTCTGGGCATCTGAAACAGACATGATCCACATTTAGAGACTGGTTTGGATTTTCAAGAGAGATATAAGCAGCTTTTTAATCTTCCTTTTCATTTTCTTTGCAATATCACAGAGATTTCATGAAGAGATACACACTAGCTGTCTCAAACGCCAAGAGTTTATAATCTGTCCATAAGTGATGTGGTCACACACACCAACAATAAAAAAGGATAACTTACCTCCATCCCATGTGACCATCCCCTACAGAGGGGCAGGCAGAATGAACTGTGACCTGCAGATATTTTATTTGTCTCATAATCATTTGTGCTTTCTCACTGGCAGAAGAAAGAGGTTGAAAGCTGAAATGTTTTATCGAACAATTTTGAAATGACTTCGCAGGGAAGCTGTGTGCCTGGGGCATGGAGGGGCTTTATAAAGGCTTTGGATTAAGGGGATTCAGGTGATGGGGGAGGAGAACAGTCCATCCTCCTGGCCAGGGCTTGTGCAGGTGAATTCTGCACAAGCCCTGGTGATTTCTCACCAAATGCCCGCTGTGCTTGGCAGGTGTTGGAGGGAGATCTCCCTGAGGGAAGGCAGGTGGCAACTCTCATTCCATGTACTGCTCCTCTGGTGGTTCATACAGCGGGACAGCCCTCAGACACTGAGCAGCCCCCAGGGCCCCTGCTGCCCCTGGGTGCAGGAACCTTTGTGGTACATCAGAATATGCTGCCCTGGGTGGCTGCTGTCAGTCTCAGGCCGCCGTGTGCCTCAGCCTGTGCATGAAGGCATTTCTTCCTTGGCAGCCCCTGGTATCTGCACGGAGCTGTGAGGAGTTGTCTTTGCTACCTGAGTTGTGGCCCCAGTTAGTTAGAAGAAATGTGGCCAGGAATGGAAGGCATTGCCATTCCAGAAAGCTCTTGCTAATTCTGCGATACAGACATAGAAAATATGAAAACAGTGACACCTTGGGAGCCAGTAAACAATTCAATGCACGGTGGGGAAAAAAATCCTTGTGTGCAGGGACCGAGTATGCAATGCAAGTTCTTCTCTGGTCCAATAGAGCCCTGTTGCTGTGGTTTGCAGAGGTTTAAGCTGTACTGCAAGAGCACATATGCCTTCTGCTGGTGCTCTGTGCTTGCTCTCACCAGCCACTGTCGGAATAATACAGGAGCCAAAGTCTGGTTCCATAAAATGTCTGAAAGCTCTCTGGTAGTTGCCCTGGGATCAGCTTTGGAAGTGTGCCTTCTACTGACAGGCCCTTGCAAGCACAAACCAACTGAAAATTCATTCATAGGGACCTTTCATCTGGGGTATGTTTTTTTAACTAGCAGCAAAAGCAGACATTTAATCAGTGCAATTTTGCAGATTCTATTGCTGAAGGTATGCAGACTCTGACACACAAGCCAGCTGGAGAGGTTTTGCTCTGAATATTGAGTTTCTAGGTGATGAAAACAGGGTTGTTGCCAAACACAATGTAAAAACCATTGAGAAAACAGAAAATGGTGGTTAGTTGGAGGAGGAAATGGATCAAAACAGCTCTGAAAAGGGAAGGTTATATATTTATTTAGAAAATGAATTACTGATATAGTCAAACAGGGGTGAACTTTACTCTAGAGTGCTGTGCCCTTTAATAATCAGCCCCAAAGCTTTGCTCCCCAGTCAGACTGAGCTGCTCCCTGCTAACTTGCTGCATGACATTCCCATGGTTCAGTCTTAGGTCCAGAATATTTTGCAGTTTCCCAGCAAGCTTTTATTCCAGATGTATCTAATCTGCATTTTGAGAGCCACCTGCAGCTTTCCCCAAAGATACATCCAGTGTCCAGGCAGACAGCAAGCCTGTGAGTGGCCAGAACTCGCCTTCCCAAGAAGGTGTGCCAGCAAAAAAATCACAGCTGATGGTCTGAAACCTCCCCATGACCCTCTGCCAGCCTGCCTAGTGATTGCTGAGGCACCAGAGATTTTCTGCTGGAGTGGGAAGCAGTAGCACTGAGGTGAACATCTGGCTCCCAAATAGTCCAGGCTAACTCAGCAGGCTCTAGTGAGTAATGCACATGCTTTTCTTATTCCTGAACTTAGTTATCAAATTGATATAATTTTATTCATGCTGTCCAATTAAAATGTTAAAATGTGATTTGAATATAAATGTATCTCTCATGCGTGGAAGTGGAAGCTTTCAGCATCTTCAGAACCCGTGGTCCCTGAAATCTCTAAAGACAGAAACATAAGAGCTACTCCAGTTTATGCCAGAAAGGGATGAATCTTTTATAAGTCTTATTTCTCAAAATCTAATATAAAAGTGCATCAGATCCCTAAGGAATAAAGTTAACTTTATGTGAGAAATGTGTGAAATTTCTGCCCTCTGTCCAGAAAAAGATATTTCCCTATTGACTACTGTAATATCAGTTCTTCAGATGTAGGGGGCTAATTTATTTCTTGGGACAGATATGTGTGGTAGGCACATCAGCTCTGGTGATCCAGTCAGGTGCATAGGTGAGAATCCCTCCTGGGGTCAGTGGCTGGCTCTTACTGGTGGGGGAATGGGGGGCAGCACAGGGGCTGGTGCAGGAGCAGGGGGGCTGGATATGGATGCCAAGAACCCCAGGGTTCTTGGGGTACATCATTTGTGTGCAATTGGAGAAGCAGTGGACTGCTTCTTCAGCGCTCAGACTGCCTGCAAAGCATATTTCAGTGGGAAAGAGGATAGAGTTCCACATCTTTTTCCCCAAATAGGCACATTAGCCCTGGTGATTTCACATAGTAGATCTAATCTGGAAAAGAAGGAAAAACAGAAATGTTATCCCATATTGCAGGCTCAAGAAAGGTGGGGAATGATGGCAGCTGTGCTCAGGACAGGGGCTGTCTCTGTATTAGAAACATACTTACTTGGCAAGGTAACTCAGGATGGCAGTGTGTAAGCCATAATGAAACACTGAGAGTAGCACAGGAGGCAATAAATACCAACACAAAATATCCAGACCACCTCAAGCTGTTCATCACAATTTTCTCTTTTACCATATAAATTTTGCTTATATTTCTTATTAAACTGAATCTG